TCGCTGTGTAACATGAGGCCTCTGGCCTCGCGGATCGTCTTGATCATGTTGCGCTGCTCGAAGGTGCACTCAAACTGGTTGTTGAGAATAGCTGTGGTACGGCTCTCCTGTGTCTGCGTACGCTGGTTACGCAGTTCTTCCATACCATAGCGGTTGTCTCCACCAGCCTCTGGCAATTGAACGCAATCTTGGCCGATCGGCGTGTCGTTCTGTCTGAACCCTGTCTTCATAATTGCCAAAGGAGAATGCCCACATCATGATGTCGTCGCGGATCATGGTCGACAAATGCTCGAGGGCAGCGCCGCCCATGTATTCCGCGCGATTGAGGCACGGCGTAAATAGCGGTACAAGAGCAACATGTGATACCTTGGCGAGATCTTCTCGCTTCTGTGCATCGTTGAGCTCGTCGATGCCGTGGGTTGGGTACTTTTTGTGTTTTGCACTCTTGGCTCCTTTCTTGGGGTGCATGATCCATGTTGAATCGGTGTGCAAGTTGGCCCATTTGTATGCGTGCCCTGATGGGCCGAAGGCATGATGCAAGAGTAGTCCCAGATCTTCTTGTACGAGGGAGCACCACCCGTTATCTGAAAGAAGGGTAGAAACAAAACGACCACCACAGAAAGCGCTGTACTTTGCTTGATCCAGCTCGAGTGGGTCAATATCAGGACCAGGAGTAAGACCAGGGTCGATCTTGTCGGGGGCTTCGCCAAAGAAGACATTGCCCTCGTTGTATGGTTGCCAGCGATAGGTACTTGTCATATTCTCGTCGTGCTCTGATATTGCCACCCAGCCTTCTGGATGATCGGATGGTGTTGCCACCGTCTTGGGGTATGATCCGATACCTCCGAAGCCTCCGCGCGCCGTCAGCCATGTGCTGAGCTTGCGGCGAAATTCGCTTGTCTGGTTAATGTCGGAAAATGGTCGCATGTTGGTGACCAAAGTATCCTCAACAATGTGGCCGATGTGTCCAGATGTATCTGATGTCCTGGCTAAGCCAGGTGGGCGTGCCGGTAATTTGGCCGTTGCGCGCTCAAGTTTAGGAGCATAGCATGGGGTTGTTAATCCATTGCTGTATACATCAGAGGGTGCACAAAGACCATTTCCATAGTATCATGTTGTATCCTGAACGCTGTCCTCGGCATACTGTCCCAGTACTGCACTGCCAATTTTGGACCAATCATTGTGAATCATCATCCACTCCGTCCTCAATATCATCGTGGTAAGGTCCATTGGCGGGCACTTGCGGCGCGCTCCTGCGATCACTGCGTTCAAATGATCATGTAAACCACGAACATTTTCTTGTACAGACGGGCTACGATTGAAGAGGCTGGAAAGCATGCACACAGCCCGCATGAATGACAGCCATGGTGTAGCCGTAAACGTGCTGTATTCGTAGTTGGCGTTGCCGCCGACTGATCCACCAGTGTCGCTGATCCAACTCTTGACGTCGGCGGACGCAGAGCGGGCAATTTCTCGAATAGTGGATTCGTCGGGTACGCGGAGATCAAAATCTGCACTGCGATCAGCGCGCCGTTGATGTACGTATATATATATATATATATATATATATATATCCATCATCAGGATCACGAGGGCGACCAGTTTGAGCGTGGTACGTGAAGCCCGCGCGGCCGTCGTCCTTGGCGTTCGGGTCGTACTCAGCATCGCAGCCGATGGGCCAGCCGATGAGGTGGAGCGGCTGTGCCTGATCCATCTCGTGGATGGGGGTATCGGGATTAGAACCGATCTCGCTTATTCCCAACCTTCCTTGGTTGGGTATTCGTTTTGAATAGAGCAGTGTGGTCGCGTCCTTCCTCCTCCCGCCTCCCGCCTCTTTCCTGCCTCTTCCTGTCCTGTCTTGCTTGCCTGGGGGGGCTGCGATCTGTGAAACTGTCGCCATTTTCGAGGCCTGCTGGGGGGCCCAGCACAGTGAGGGCCACGGGCAGATTCAAATTAGACCTCGCCATCCCTGGGGGGCTGCGATCTGTGAAACTGTCGCCATTTCGAGGCCTGCTGGGGGGCCCAGCACAGTGAGGGCCACGGCAGATTCAAATTAGACCTCGCCATCCCTGGGGGGCTGCGATCTGTGAAACTGTCGCCATTTCGAGGCCTGCTGGGGGGCCCAGCACAGTGAGGGCCACGGGCAGATTCAAATTAGACCTCGCCATCCCTGGGGGGCTGCGATCTGTGAAACTGTCGCCACTTTCGAGGCCTGCTGGGGGCCCAGCACAGTGAGGGCCACGGGCAGATTCAAATTAGACCTCGCCATCCCTGGGGGCTGCGATCTGTGAAACTGTCGCCATTTTCGAGGCCTGCTGGGGGGCCCAGTGAGGGCCACGTTCAAATTAGACCTCGCCATCCCTGGGGGGCTGCGATCTGTGAAACTGTCGCCATTTTCGAGGCCTGCTGGGGGGCCCAGCACAGTGAGGGCCACGGGCAGATTCAAATTAGACCTCGCCATCCCTGGGGGGGCTGCGATCTGTGAAACTGTCGCCATTTTGCTGGGGGCCTGCGATCTGTGAAACTGTCGCCATTTTCGAGGCCTGCTGGGGGGCCCAGCACAGTGAGGGCCACGCGCGGATTCAAATTAGACCTCGCCATCCCTGGGGGGCTGCGATCTGCGAAACTGTCGCCATTTTCGAGGCCTGCTGGGGGGCCCAGCACAGTGAGGGCCACGGGCAGATTCAAATTAGACCTCGCCATCCCTGGGGGGCTGCGATCTGTGAAACTGTCGCCATTTTCGAGGCCTGCTGGGGGCCCCAGCACAGTGAGGGCCACGGGCAGATTCAAATTAGACCTCGCCATCCCTGGGGGGCTGCGATCTGTGAAACTGTCGCCATTTTCGAGGCCTGCTGGGGGGCCCAGCACAGTGAGGGCCACGGGCAGATTCAAATTAGACCTCGCCATCCCTGGGGGGCTGCGATCTGTGAAACTGTCGCCATTTCGAGGCCTGCTGGGGGCCCAGCACAGTGACGCCACGCGCGGATTCAAATTAGACCTCGCCATCCCTGGGGGGCTGCGATCTGTGAAACTGTCGCCATTTCGAGGCCTGCTGGGGGGCCCAGCACAGTGAGGGCCACGCGCGGATTCAAATTAGACCTCGCCATCCCTGGGGGGCTGCGATCTGTGAAACTGTCGCCATTTTCGAGGCCTGCTGGGGGGCCCAGCACAGTGAGGGCCACGGGCAGATTCAAATGAGAAATTGACCTCGCCATCCCTGGGGGGCTGCGATCTGTGAAACTGTCGCCATTTTCGAGGCCTGCTGGGGGGCCCAGCACAGTGAGGGCCACGGGCAGATTCAAATTAGACCTCGCCATCCCTGGGGGGGCTGCGATCTGTGAAACTGTCGCCACTTTCGAGGCCTGCTGGGGGCCCAGCACAGTGAGGGCCACGCGCGGATTCAAATTAGACCTCGCCATCCCTGGGGGGCTGCGATCTGTGAAACTGTCGCCACTTTCGAGGCCTGCTGGGGGGCCCAGCACAGTGGGGCCACGGCGGATTCAAATTAGACCTCGCCATCCCTGGGGGGCTGCGATCTGTGAAACTGTCGCCACTTTCGAGGCCTGCTGGGGGGCCCAGCACAGTTACGCCACGGGCATATTCAAACGAGACCTCGCCATCCCTTGGGGGCTGCGATCTGTGAAACTGTCGCCACTTTCGAGGCCTGCTGGGGGGCCCAGCGCAGTGACGCCACGGGCAGATTCAAATGAGACCTCGCCATCCCCTGGAGGCTGCGATCTGTGAAACTGTCGCCACTTTCGAGGCCTGCTGGGGGGCCCGGCACAGTGACGCCACGCGCGGACCCAAATTAGACCTCGCCATCCCTGCGGGGCTGCGATCTGTGAAACTGTCGCCACTTTCGAGGCCTGCTGTGATCACCATTTTCGAAGTGACTAGGAGTGCCCAGGAATTGTAACTCATCAGCTTTATCAAGCCCTTTTCCTGTAGCCAGCGTCCTGCGAGTCTCCCGAATTCCGTCTGCAGACATATGCAACCCTCGCTCCGTCATCGCCCCCTTATAAAGTATCCTAAACTATTTGCGCCCCGCTTTTGCGCAGGGGTTGGGTACGTCGCCAGGGTAATTGGCCAGAGTCTTGATTATTCTTAATGTTTCAATGTAAATCCTAAGATTTGAGTGGATTTTTTGGGTTTTTACTCAAGTTCTGAGACTATGAATTTCTTAACCCATGATTTCTTGAGCATTTCGCAGGGTGTACCATTCCTCGCCTGCTCCCTGCTGCTGGGTTGTTGCCACCCCCTGCCATTCTTGCTTGCTGGCTGCTGCTTACTTGCACTTGCCTGCTCGCTTTTGCTGGCTTGTTGTGTCATGCAGAGCCTCCTCCTCCTCCTCCTCCTCCTCCTCCTCCTCCTCCTCCTCCTCCTCCTCCTCCTCCTCCTCCTCCTCCTCCTCCCTCCCTCCCTCCCTCCCTCCTCCTCCCTCCTCCTCCTCCTCCTCCTCCTCCTCCTCCTCCTCCTCCTCGCTGCTTGCCTGCCCTTGCCGATCCTCCTTGTCCTGGTGGCGAGAGACGAGCTGCTCAGCTCCCGAAGCTTGTCTCGCACGGCCTGATGCCCCCCCCCCCTCGCAGAGGGGAGGCCCGCGGATGTGGAGTCACGCAGACTGAGGGTCCGTCGTGCCCATCGCGGCTCGAGACAGGTTGAGGCCTCTGGGCTTCCGCACGCCTGGCGGCCTGCCCGACCTGGCCCCCGACACTTCCCCGCGGCTGCCGGCGGGCCTGGGTGGCTGGCCTTCCGTCGGGCCTGTCCCTCTGCAGGGGGAGTGTTCAGAGATAGTCGAAGAATAGTCTGGGGATGATGTTTTGACTATTTTTTGATCATCTGGAAGTATTTCTTGTAGTTTTTATTTCTCGCCCCGCTGGGGATGATGTTTTGATTATTTTTTCATCATCTGGAAGTCTTTCTGGTATTTTTCATTTGTCGCCCCGAATCCCCCTGTAGGGGGACAGGCCCGACTTAAGGCTGGCCGCCGCCCCGCTGCGAGCATGACGAGCCTGGCGCAGGGCATGGCCTTCGACCCGCCGCGGCGCGGGCCGCCCTTGCAGCAGGAGGACCGCGAGGACGACGAGGCCCGCGCGTTGCCGCAGGCCTGGCTGGAGAGCCGCCTGCACGGCCTCTCCGAGGATTCCAGCAGTGGCGAAGGGTCTTGGCTCGCCTATAGGCCTGCCGAAGAATGTTCTAAGAGCCTTTTGTGGTCTCCACGAAATGTTATTAGAACGTTTCTGGCTGGGACTGTCTTGCTTTGTCACATTGGGCTCATGTTCTAAGAACACTGTTTTTAGTCTTTAGAGCATTTTCGGGTTCTACGAACATGTCGTGGTAGGCCTATAGGAATGCCAGGACGGTCGGTCCCTGCTCAAAGGATGATTTCGGAGGAGGTGTCCGCATTTTCAGCACCAGCGACCTGGAGGCCCCCGAGGCCTTCCGCGACGTGTGGCGCTCGAAGAAGAACAAAACACACACACACACACAATCATAAACTTTGTGCGCTCGGCGCGGATTTCTTGGATTCGTGCGGGGGGGCCCCCGGCGGCGCCTCCGGCGCCGCCCCTAGCGCGCTCCGCGCGGCAGGGAGGGGGTTCCGGTGCAGATCCAAGAAATCCGCGTGGACCTCCAAATCTTTATGTTTACGCTGTTTTCTCTTCTCTAGGCACGTGATCTCCAGAGGAGATGTCAGCAATGGCCCGCCACTGATCAGCGATGAGGATTCGGCCAAGCTGCAAACGATCCTGGTGTTCTGCAACCCGAACCAGGTCAGCGAGGTCCAGAGGCTCTGCGACGTCATCACGAACATCGACGTGACAAGCAGCGACGCCCTGCCGATGTTCTGGGTGCCCCACTCCGTGGCGCCCGACAAGCGGGGCCACACGGACCTCATGCGGGCAGACCAGGTGAACGACATCCTGACCAGGGGCCTGGACGGCATCGTGAGCGGCGCTCTCCATGGCCGTGCGCATGAAGATCAAAAAGTCGGCGACCATCCCAAAGAAGCTGAACGACATGCTCACGGAGGCGCGCAATCGAGGACAGTACGGACAGTACCTGCAGCGCTGCGCACACGCGACCCTGTGGGACTACGTGAGGGCTCGCCTGGCGCCCGACATCCCGGCGGTGGACCACACCCTCGAGCCCGGAGACCCGCAGCAGGTTCCAGGGTACATCGTCGGGAACAAGCTCGGGCAGGGGTCGTTCGGGGCCGTCTACAAGCTGACGGAGAGGCCGGAGACGGGAAGCAGCGTCGAGGTTGTCAAGGCAGTGCCCACCGAGGGCATCACGCGGATCAAAGACCTCATGTACATGAACAGAATGATCCGCGTGATGAACATGTTGAGCGATGAGCAGGGGCGGCACCCGAACATCATCCGCCTGCACCGCACCTACCACACGCCGACGCACATTCTTTTCCGGATGGAGTACGGGGGCCCAGAGAACTTGTACAAGCGCCTGCGCGACCGCCAGACACTGCAGGCTGAGAATGCGCGGCCACTGTCCCTGGACAAGGTTGTGACGATCATCACCCAGGCGGTCGACTTGGTGTGGCACCTGCACACGGTGGTGCATGTCTGCCAACGCGACATTAAGCCAGAGAACATCATGGTGAACGAGACGCCAGAGTCCATCACGATCAAGCTCACAGACATCGACCTCGCTGTCTCCTTCGAGGATGAGGGCAAGATGTGCAGCAGCCCCTGCGGGACCCTGCCCTTCGCCGCCCCCGAGGTGCTGCTGGACAGCCCCTACGACGTTTGCCTGGCGGACATCTGGAGCCTCGGCGTGGTTTTCGCGGAGGTGCTCTGCGGGGTGCGCGTGGTGGAGCTCGCGATCGAGCACGCGGGGCTGCAGGTGCGGCCCTTGGGCGTCAACACCGCGCTCGCGGAGTGCATCCGCACCTTCTTCCGAATGCCCGCCGCGGCGGCCCGCCTGCTGGAGGAGCGCTGCCGCCCAGAGCTCCGCCCCCTGCAGCCCTTCGGCGGCGCGGTGCTCGCCAGGACGCCGACGGTCGACCCCGCGCGGCGGATGGACGTCGACGGCGTCCGCTCGGTGGTGGAGCAGGGCCTCGCGCCACTGGCCCTGGGGCCTGCCGCGCCCGGCAGGTAGCCCGCGCCCCAGCGGCCAGCGGCGCTGCGCCACCCGCGGCAGCACAGGCGACGTCGCAGCAGCGCGTCGGCGAGCGGCGAGGTCCGCGCCGCCGTCCGCCCGCGTCGCAATCGCGTTTCTCTCTGTCTTTTTTGTTTTTTCTCTCTCTCTCTCTCTCCATCTCTCTCTCTCTCTCTCTCTCTCTCTTTCGTTCGCTCTCTGTCTGTCTGTCTCTCTCTGCCTCTCTTTCTCTCTATCTTTCTCTCTCTTCCTTTCAGATTCCGTGTCCTTGCGACCTTCTGCAGTCCCCGACGTCGCCATGGCTGGATCCGCTCGAGCGTGTCTTGTGATGTGCGGCGGTGCGAAGCCCGTCCCACTGATCAAGGCACAGGTACGAAATGATGGGTCCATCATTTCTTGCCTTCCCATGTGCGTTTTCCCAATCGATTCCTGGGCCCGAGGTCGCAAAAATTACGACGTCGGAGGTCTGGGGAGGCGGGAAGCACGACCTGGACCTCCGACGTCTTGGAAAAAATCACGACGGCGGTTTTTGTCAATCTTCGGGCGTCCTGAGCCTCGGAGGCCGCCGCCTCCGACCCCCCATGGGAGGACGGGGCGGCCGGGGAGGTCCAAAAAAATCCAGGAGGGCCTCCAAAGGCTCCCAAGACGGCCCAAGCGGGCCCCGAGTCGCCGAAAGACCGCTCCAGGACGCCCAAGAAAGGCCCAAGACGGCCCGAGAGGCCCCCCAAGGCACTCCACGACGCTTCAAGACGCCTCTCCAGAGCGCTTCAAGAGGCCGAGATCGTCAATTTTACGAAGGTTTTCGAACGATTTTGACCTTCCAGCTTTTTCGGCTGTCCGACGTTCCACGACGGCTCAATAGGCCCCCAAGAGCGCCCCAAGACGGTCCAAGAGGGCCCCAGGACGGCCCCAGAGTCGCCCAAGACAGCCCCACAGAGCCCCAAGACGACCCCAAGATGCGCCCAAGAGGGGGACCGAGCACGAGCACGAGCAAGAAGTCATACACCCGGAGGTGCGTAGGACACTGGATGGGAAAAATTGCAGATTAAATAATACAGTCGGGCTACGTTGCACTATGTTGACAGCTTAGCTGTGCGGACAAAGTGCCGCCAAGAAACTTCGCTGATCAGGAGTGGGGTCAAATTGGCTATGCCGCCTGCCGCTTTGCAAGCGACGCGTAGCACCTGGGACGTCCAGTCCGCGCGCGGCCTGCCAACTTTCTTTACATACCTGTCTGAAGCTGGCCGGAAAGATCCAGGGCAGAAGGTGACCTCTCTTAGGGGGCTCCCTTCCGGTGACCTGGCGGCTTTACCTAGCAAGAGGAGTTGCTGTCGAGCTACAGTCTCTGATAGGAGGGATTGCCCGGTCGTGTCCAAGACAGTTGCATTGCTCACTCTTGAAATAGAAGCTGGCGCGATCCCCCAGATCGCGCGGAGGCACCGGCAATGAAAACCGTCCAGACGTCTCCTGCCGGCGGCATTCAACCACAATGTTGATAATCCGTACGTCAACTTGCTAAGGACCACCGCCTTGTAAACCTCGATTTTTCGACGGCGGCTAAGATTTGAATGTCGCTATATTATAGAAAGCTTGTCGAAATCCGCCCGGGCTGCGCCAATACGCCTGGAGAGTTCTTTGCTCGCGTCCCCCGCCCCAGAAATCAAGACTCCAAAATTCGACCCTCCCGCTTGAAGAGTGCCCCAGGAGGACCTAAGGAGCCCCCAAGAGGCCCCAGGAGGCCTCCAAGAGGCACCCAGGAGGCCCGAACGAGGCCTGAAGAGGCCACAAAACAGCCCCGAGGAGGCCCCACAACGGTCCCAAAACGGCTACCGAGAAGCTGCGAAACTGCCTTCACGACGTCCCCGACAGGCCAACCACGAGATCCAAACTAACACCCATGAGGCCTCTGACCCACCACCCAGGGCACGGTGGCGGGGGCAGTGACAGCACTTGTGCACAGCATGTTCCGGCGAGAGCCTTCCAGAACACGCTGCAGGAGGAGGAGGAAGATCAGGAGGAGAGAGAGCTGGAGTGGGAGGAGGAGGAGGGGGACGAGGAGAAGGAAGAGGCCTCCAAGACAGCTCCAAGATAGCCGAAGAGGCTTCCAAGAGGGCTCTGGGCGGCCCACGAGGGCCCCAAGGCGGTGCCTGAGGCGCCCAAGACGACCCGAGAGGGCCCCAAGACGGCTCCAAGAGAGGCCCAAGAAGGGAAACACGAACCGAGAATCCGAGCTTTCTACCCCGTGAGGTTCTCGGGAAGTCCCAAGAGGCCCCCAATCGGATCCAAGAGGCCCCCAAGAAATTCCTCAGAGGGCCGACGAGGTTCCAAGAAATCTCCCAAGATGGCCCCAAGAGGCACAACTCATCGTGTTAAGATTGGGCTTTGACGGGTTTTCATGTTTTTTTTTCTGCCTTTTGGCATCCCGATGCTCCAAGACGGCCCAAGAGGCTTCCAATACCGCTCCAATATAGAGGAAGAGGTCTCCAAGAGACCCCCAAGACTGCCCGCGAGGGCCCCAAGACGGTGCTTGAGGCGCCCAAGACGGCCCGAGAGGGCCCCAAGAGCCCCAAGAGAGGCCCAAGAAGGGGAACGCGACCCAACAGCAGAGCGTTCCCCCCAAAAGGCCCACAGGAGGCCGCAAGAGGCCCCCAAGTGGTCCGACGAGGACCCCAAAAGCTTCCCGAGGGCCTAAAAGGCCCCTAGGAGACGTCCAAGAGGTTTTAAAATAGCCCAAGAGAGCCCTCGATGCGCCGAAACTGCTTCCAGCAGGCCCCCGGGAGGCTTCCGGATTGTCTCAATCTGGCCGCAGGTGGCCTCAAGTCGGGCCTCCACGCAGCCAAGACGGCCACTGACGGCTTCAGATTGCAGAACCGATGCCCCCAAGGGACCCTCAGACGCCCCCCCAAGAAGCACCCAAGAGGTGCCTCCAACAGCCAGTTGACGAAGCATGCGGAACACCCCAGAAGCTCCTCAGATGCCGTCGCGCGCCTGTGCTTGATAGCGTTGTCCAAGATCGTCCAGCGCCCCCCCGGCCTGGGCTAGAACCTGAGCGCGCGCGAAGCGCGCGCGCGATGTTTCTAGCCCAGGGGCCCGAAAACAGCTGCCCGACACTCCATGGGAGTACCGGGGCTCATTTCCCCTTTGTTTTTATTGGGTTTCGGCGTCCCGGGCCTCGGAGGCCGCCGCGATGGTCCCGGACATTTTCCAGATCCTCGGCGCGGGCTCCAAGACCATTCCGCAGAGGGCTCCAACAGGCTCCAGGGCAGCCCAAGCGGGCTCCAAGACGGCTCCAGGAACGACTGCAGGGTCTCATTTTTCTTGTGTTTTTTGCAAGACGGCTCCAGGCAGACTGCATGTCTTATGAGGATGGCTTCCGCCTCTTGCCCCGATCATCCCAAACTGCCTGAACGGTTCCCCAAACCCAGCGCTTGCCCAAGCGCGTTCCGGACGGTCTTCGCCGGAACGCGCTGGAATGATCACGCGCTGCGGTTTCCCATGCCAACGTCCTCGGACGTGGGTGCCCTGCCACGAGCGCGTTCCGGGAAGATGCTCCCGGAAGGCGCTGAAAAGATATGGCCACATCTCGGGGACGCTCCCGACACCGCTCCCCAGCCTTTCCGGGCAGCCTCCACAGCGCTTCAGGAGGGCCCAAGACACCCCCCAGGAGCCCCCAGAATGCGAAAGGATGGCCCAAGACGCTCCCGAGCAGCCCAAGTCAGCCTTCCGACGTCTCTCGAGGCTCCCAGGTGGCCTCCAAGAGACCCCAAGAAGTCTGATAGGTATCACGGTACGGCCCGAAGAGGCCAAGGTCGTATTATGTTCAATTGTCTTTTCAATGTTTTTGACTTCTCGCGTTTTCGAGCTTCAACGGCCCAAGAGCGCCGAAGAGCTTCCCAAGACCGCCCCAAGACCACCCAAGATACCTTCAGGACGGCCCCAAGACGGGCCAAGAAGGCTCCAACACTCCCGAAGAGGCGCCCAGCACAGCCCCAGACCACCCCAGAACAGGCCCAAGATGGGCCCAAGAGCGGGAGCAGGAGGCTTCCAGAGACCTCCGAGAGGCCTCCGGGACCCGCCAGAGGCCCCCAGCACACCCCCGATCCTTGAGAGGCCCCAAACAGACCCCGACGAGGCTCCAAGAACAACCCAAGAGAGCTGCGAGAGCCGTCCCGAGAGAGCCCAAAGAGGGTAACATCGTTGATTTCCAATGGTTTTTCCTATGTTTTTCGCCTTCTCACGTTTTCCCGCTTCCAGCTCTCAAAGATCGAGGGTTTGGGAAAAAAGGAGAGGGAATTACAAAAATTGTGTTTCATCAAAGTGGAACTCCTACTCGGGGGTCCTACATATCCCCTGACATCTGGCCGGTACCGCGCCTCCCGGCTTCATCCGCAGAGCGAGTTTGCAGTGCGTTTAGACCTTTTTGGGACGTTTCTTTGAATTTGTCTTGGAGCGTCTTCTGGGCCTCCTGGGGGCCTCTTGGTGCCTTTTGCTGGACCCTGGAGCCCTCCTGGGAACCTCTTCGAGCGAAAACCTACGGTTTTCCGTCCGTGACCTGTGTCCCCATTGGGGGACTGGGGTGTTCCGGGGGTTCTGCTGGGGCGCCGGGGGCGCCGTAAGATCGCCCGGATACGGCCTGCGGATCGCCAAACATGGCGCTTCCAGACCGCGGGAACGACCAATGGCGGCCAAGACGGCCAAGGCGGCCAGAATTAGCCCTTGACTATCCAAGAGGCCTCCAAGACGCCCCCAGAAACTTCCAAGATGCCTCCAAATGAGCCCCGGGAGGCACAACTTGTTGCTTATCCAAAGGTTTTTGAAGGATTTCCATGTTCTCGCCTTTTAAATTTTCCGACGCTCCACAACGGCCCCAGAGGTCATATTTTCCGTTGCAAGACAGCCCCGGAGGCTTTGAAAACGGCCCCAAAACGGCCCAAGAGGGCCCCAATACGGCGCCGGAGACGCACAGGATGGCCCGAGAGGGTTTTATGGACCTCCACCAA